AATGTGTCTTTATTTCAGTGCTGAATCCTACCAGCACCGAGGATCTTTTAACTATTTCATGTTCTGGGATGTTCATCCTTTTTAGTGTGCCTAGGAGTATGATTTTGAGTGAGGATCCTCTATTAAAAGGATCCTTCTAGCAAAGTGGATGACATTGAAGAGGATGATCACGAATTTGTCATGGTGGGGATCCTTGATGTATTCCCTATCCTTTGCTCATGAGGTAGTTGATCTTCTTCCTGAGAGTTATACAATTCTCCGTAATGTGGCTAAAGTCTTCATGGTACACACACCGCTTATACTTATCCTTCTAGCTAGGGGCCTTTTCTCGTTTCTGTGGCCACCTTACTTTGTCACCGAGATTCAGCATATCATAAGTTATACATGAAACGTCCACATAGAAACAATAGTCAGTGAGCTTGGGGAATTCATCTTCCTCTCCTTCATCGTCAATGGAATTAACCCAATGATGCTCAGGTTGTAATATGGTTTTGACTTACATGATTTTTAGGTCTAGGAGTCGGCCTTCGTATTGGGGTTGTCGTATGAGTTTGGTGGGTTGCTCCTTTTTTTCATTTTGGATCTTCTTGTCTTCTTCGAGTCGTATGATACTCAATGATCTGCTTCGTACTTTGTCCATTCTTTTGAATGGAGTCATTACAAGGTCTTCTTAGAAAGGAGAGTATTTCTTTAAGCCCATTTTGAAGGCTTCTACAACAATTACCATATAAATGTTGGGGATACTTGGTGCCTCCCTACCAAACTTGTTCACAATGTTCCTAAGACCTGATAGAGATCACTAGTGATATTTTCGAACGTTCTGCTACTAGATAATTGGTTGTTATAAATATTAACTAAATATGCAAATGAAGTAATAGAGTAAGGAGGAATATTAAGTAGTCATTTCAAGGTTGATACCATGAGGGTCGAACAAAAATCCTTACATAGACAAGCTTCCTTCACGTGTGTGAGAATCTGGATGATCTCTATTCTCTACCTATATTGCTCCACATGTTCTTCATGATCTGTAGTCCCATCTTAAGGTTTAATGTTGGGATTTAGATTAGCTATTGCAAGAGAAAATCTCGAGGTTGCCTTAGTTGATGAAGTTCTTTGTCCATGATTTGAGTCATTCCTGCATCAAGATCCATAGAGTTGGTACTAAAGGTATGATTACTCAGGAAGATAGTAGGATCCTTGTTACTGGGAGTGGTGAAGGTTTTGTCGGGATCATGAATCACATGGAGTCTCTCATTTGGAGTTACATCCCAAGTGGGAGCAGGTGTTGGTGTTGAGGATCATGTCTCCTAGGGGTTTCCTAAGAATCCTGCATTGTCAATGTTTAGGATCTTGGGTTGCAAGATCGAGGGTGCTGCTCCTTGGGGTTTATGCATATCCGCTCTCATTCTGTCTATTTCCTTGAGCACTATTCTATGTTCCTACTGTCGTTGATTAAGTAGTTGCTTTACCATCTTCACCATGGGGAAGAGTTTGTTGTTAAGGATTGGACCATGAAGATCCAAGAATCCCAGGGAACCTGGATTCCCATGGCTGATGATCTGAGAGGTGTTCTATCTAGAGGTATCCAGAGTTTTCCTATAACCAGGGGGTCTATTTAGAGGTGGTGGAAGATTCTTTGAGAAAATGGGAAGAATGGAGGAAGAATGTATAGTTGGTCGTGTAGACATAATTTTCGAGAATTATGAACACCACGGCCCCACGGGTGGGTGCTAAATTGTTTTGGTCAAAAATTGATAAATGGATATCAACAATATTGCATGAGAGGTTGTGGTGTTGTAGATTAAGTGATTAACGGACTTAGAACAAGATTGCACAAGTGATTTACAAGGAAAGCCCTTTTGCCTTGCTAGGATATCTGACATAAAACTTTAAGAGGTGATAATGATAACTTGCCTTGTTTGATTTTATTGATTTGAATGTATAATTATATAGATGATAATGATAATATGAGTACGAGTGGTTCTATTGCTCTAAGTGTGTAAAGTGTACACAGATTGTGCCTGTTTTGTGTCATTTAAAACTGTTTTATAGTCTAGGTTAAGTAACTATTAGTCTGAGATTTATGGGATCTTGCTGAGCTGGTATTTGTATGTGCTTTAACTTGGTATTTCTAAGTCTTAAGCCTAATTGGAATGTTTCTTCATTGAGAATGAGTCTTATGTTTACCATTTCTGCGCACGTGAAAAAATAAACAAGAAATATTGTCGTTAAACATGTTAGGAAATAATAATGGCGATGTCCAGGATCCTGATGTATGTCCGGGTTCCTGAGACTCCTTTAAGATCCAGGATCCTGGATCAGATTGAGGATCTTGGCCCTAACAACTATAGCACAACAACATCCAATATATAAGGACTCATATCTAACAGATCACCAAATCATAACAACATCCTACATACCATGATTGATATTTAATAGATCAACACAGTATAACAACATCCTATACACAAGGATAGATAACCTAGCGCGCTAACATTGGTGCCTTCAACCCACAAGTACAATGAAGAAAACTAACCTGAATCGAAGAACTCTAAAACATTGCAATACAATCCCTTTTCTATACTTCTTGCACCTACGAATCCATTAACACCATAATCGGATAGGGTCTTAATCAATAGCCTAAAATCCTAGAATTGACCAAAAGTTAAAGTTGGCCAAAAGGTCAACGGTAAACAAAAGTCCACGAAAGTCAAAGTCCAAGGCTACTAAGTATGCCCAATGTACTCAACGTATGCCCAACATTCACGGTCTGATCTAACTCCTCCATCAAGCACTTTATACACTAAGGCCTTTTGTCTAGATCTCAGATCTTGACTCAAAACATCAACATAAGTCATAAAGTTTCCACCTTTACAAGTTTTCATGGCTAGAAAGATCCAAAAAGCTAAAAACCCCAACTTATTAATGCATTAAGATATCACAACTCTTGCATGTAATGGATATAAGGACCAGGATCACATTTATACAATTCCCGATAGCTCCATAATGGATAAAGTTTCCAAATTTATCCATTAAGATGCTCCAAACAACCAAGACCTAGTCTTTAAGTCTCGAAGGGACCAAAAGTACATCTTTCTCAACTCAATCCATTAAGTGCAAGTCTCCAACCTTCATATATGAATCAAGATGATGTTTAGATGGGCAAAATTTCAAAATTTATCATTAGAAGGTCATAAACTTTCAAGATCTAAAATTTATGCACTAAAGTGACCAAAAACTCATAACAACCAAAACAAGATAGATCTAAGAAATTCATCATCAAGATTCAAGCTCTATACCTTTAGAAGAAAGATCAAGGTGAACAAGATCTGGATCTACAAGCTCCAATGCAACCAATAAGCTCCTTTTTCTCAAAGATCCACCAAGAACACTCAAAAGCACTCAAAAACAACTTATTTTGCTCACAAGGCTCAAACTAGGGTTACCATTTCAAGGGAGGATGTTGGAGAGGTGGAGGATGAGAATAGAAAGGGTTTGGGGATGTTAAGGAGCTTAAATAGGGCTCAAAACTCTTGAAATTACGGTGTGGGTTCTGATCACATATGCCTTGCATACTCATAGTACACCCAGTGTATCAAGTTGAATCTCCATGATCATCCATGCCTAATACACCCAACATACGCCCAACATGCCCATCATACTAGGCTAAACCCAAACCCTTCCAAAATTCTAACGATCATAACTTCTTTGTTCTAACTCCGATTTCAACAATCTTTATATTCATGGAAAGGTATTGAAGACCCCCACAATATTATCTAGACATCTTGGAGTAAAAACTTCTCAAACAAAAATCCATATTTCATGCAAGAACCCGACCTATGACTTTCCCCTTTCTACCCTTCGGCCTAATACATAGTTCAAAAGTTAAATTTATTAACCATCATTACCTTCTTCCATAAGGACTAAACTTTACCTCATTAAGGCATAGATCCTTTACACATTCAAATTCTGGCCCATTACCCTGAAATAGAAATGATGTTACACTTAGAAAGATCTATTAATCTTAAATGTGTATATAAAATTGTAAAGTGATTTTCAATCCTGAGTTTATTAGTACATTATATGTTTATCAGTTAAATCTATTTATAAAATTGAATTTATTATTTATAAATACAATCACTATTTTTGAAACACAATAATTGTTTGTATTTTATAATTTTGATGTACATGTATTCATTTACTAAACGGGAAATGACACAATTGCCCTACAAAGTTGTTTTTTGGATTTATAGGGGATATAAGGTAGGTTACAACTTGCTCTTTTAGTCCCTTTAAACCTCTAATAGTTGGTACACAATGAGATAGTGACCATTTAAACAAAAAAAAAACTCACATTATGTCCATATAAAGCCAAAAAAATAAGTTCGAGGAAAAAATGCTTATGCCTTAAGATCGAAGTGATTTGGGAGAAGTAGAAACCTAATAAATTGGATAGTTTCACTTCACATGGTCAAATCATTAAGAAATAAGGAGATTATTGGCAGCCTCACAACCCCAGAAGCCACAAGAAACAATATGATCCAAAATGGAAGAATCCATAAAAACACTGCCTTCATAATATTCTTCCCTGAAATGTTTAAAACAACATGATAAAGGAAGATTCACCACATCTAAGTTTATAAATAGATGAAAAATGATGATCGATTTACCAGTAGATTTAAAACAACATGATAAAGGAAGATTCACCACATCTAAGTTTATAAATAGATGAAAAATGATGATCGATTTACCAGTAGAGCGAAATAGGCCTTCGTTTTTATCAACTATCCATTCACCACTCTATTGAATCATCTTCTGCACATCCCCTTCCATTCTCCAGTTGAATTCAACAAAACTGAAGCAAACAATGTTTTTTCGTGCTCGGATTCACTAGTGATTTGATTTTACAACACAAGAACACACATTTTCAAATTGGAAAATGGAGAACTACAATGTTGATAATTCACATCGAATAAACAAAATTAACAACTGAATTTCAATTAATTATATGAAGAAACGTCCATGGTGATGTCACGATCTATGAAATTCCTGCTCCAATAACTCATTCTATTTCTGCAATCAAGGGTTTCTTCTCTTCTTGTTGATTTCTGGCTATGATTGGCGGCGATGGTAGTGGTGTCACAACGTTTATCTGACAAACTTGGGGTTGTAGAAGTTAAGCCTATCATCTCTCCTTCTTTGCTCTCCAATGCCAGATGAACAAGCATAACGAAATTTTTGTGGAAGTTAATCCTATCATCTCTCCTTCTCTCAATCACTTCAATGTTGTGGCATAAGCATTTCATTCCTGGGCATAATGTGAGTTTTATTGGTCTAAATGGTCATTGTCTCATGGTGTACCAGCTATTAGAGGTTGAAAGGGACTAAAAGAGCATGTTGTAACCTATGTTATACCCCATATAAGCAGCCAAATGACTTGGGACTAAATCGACAAACCCAAGAAACTTTATAGGGCATTTTTGTGATTTCCCCTTTACTATACCTACAAATGTGTAACATTTCATTTGAAATTAAATAAAATAAATAAATAAATAATTAACCATAAACCCCGAGATGTATATTATATTTTATTGTACCCTAAATCCGTAATATCTTAGCAGGGTGTTGGTTTTAGGGAGTTAAATGTCATAATTTAGAATTTGGGGGTTTAAGTGTAATTTCTGGATTGGGTTGTAAAGATTTAAGAAGTCATGGGATAATTCGTAAATTTTGGAGCTAAGTTGAAAACATTTGGTGGGGAGGGACTAAACTTGTAAAAATGAAAATACATTTGAGTAAGGGACATGGGATTGAACCCGACGAGCCTTCCTTTTTTTTTTCTTGAACCACCGTAAACCTAGTCTCACTTTCTATGGGTATGACGTCGGAAACGTTGTTACTGTCGCCGGTGACCCTTGGGGTGTTGTTTTCATCCATTTCCAGCGACGTTAGCCGCCTAGGAGGTGGTTGAGTGTGTTGTAGCATGCACGTTCCTTGGCAGGAAAACCCACCACTACTACTGTGAGGTGGTGGCTGCCACCGTTTGCTGCTGCCTGCCACCGTGTGGGTGGTTGTGTGTGTGCCATTGGCGTGTGTGAGTGTGTTTCCCCTATGTTAAGATGTTGATTGGATGTTTTGGACCGAGAAAAATCAAGTAAAGCCCCCACTACCATCGTGAGGTTGTAGCTGCCGCTGTGAGCGGCCGTCGACCACCACTTCCCGAGGTGGTAGTGGGTGGTGCCCGGCATAGTGAAGTCGTAATTGGTCAAAAAATTTACCATTGGACTGATTGGCTTGTGGCTGACTTGGAAACCCAAATTAGGGTTTAGAAAACCGAAATTTGTGAGATGTTAGTTTTGGATTTGTCGGGACCCGCATTTTGGACCGTTGGAATTGAATTATGAATTATACCCGACCAGATCGTATGATTAACCTAGTAGAATGATGGGATTATTGGAATAAGTCCTTAATGGGTTAAGTTAATACTTAACCCTAATTGTCATTTCATGTGAGAACCCTAATTATGTTTGGGCTTCAATTTGGGCCTTTCTTTTGGGCTTAGGTGTTTGGATTCTTGTTGGGCCATCTGAGATCATGTGTATGGACTAGGTTATTTGGATGGGCTTTAGGGTAAGGCCCATGTAAGGGATTTGGGACTAATTTTGAAAATTGAGCCATAGTTGGGCCTTAGTTGATTATTTGGCTTTTGGGCCTTCAAAATGTGAGTTTGGGCCTTGGTCTTAGACTAAGATAGGTTAGGGGTAAGATGGTATTTTTACCCTAAGTGTGGAATTATGGATATGCATTGAAACCCAAATTTTTAATTCGGTTTTGTGTTAATGTTGACAGTTTGGGGAACTGTTAGCCTGCAGCCAGAGATTTATTCACGAGACTTCAATAGTGCAATGTGAGTCTCCTCACCATACTAATGTGTCGAAGGCACCAAGGCCGACCCATTATGTGTTGTGTGGTATCCTAGTTAATCATGTGTTATATGGTATGCTAGTTGATTATGTGGTATGTGATATGCTAGATGTCTTTGTGATACTTTCATGGAAGACCCCGGGGGGTTCCTGATGTGTGTAAAACCAACTCGTTTTAATCCTACTAACTTAAACACAAAGATGAACACACGAAAGGCAGTGTACCTATCGATTAGTAGTTTAGTTCAGGTAAGTAGGGTATCGAACATAGGGAACGGTAAACAATTAAAAGAAATGCTAATATTATCTAAATAAAACAAGTAATTGAAAGGGGGTTTCTCTAGTTTTGCAAGACTAGAAACTCAAACAATTAACTAAAACTTAAACTAAGAAACTAAGAGCTAAGCAAATAAAAATCAACTAAATTCAATAATGGAGAAGACTTCTGTTTAGGTTCGACTCATTTGTTCCCATGGATGATTTCAATGTATCGAATTAATTCTTCCTTGGCTAACGACTAAGATGATTAGTTTCACGTTCGCTATTACTAATTCTTAGGAAACAAATTAACTCAAGCAGTGGCCAGTTGTCTAAATTAACGGATTTCCTAGTTTTTGATTCGGGTTAAATAAGATTTGTAATGATTAAGTAAATTGGCCCTTCAGTTAACCTCTTGTTGATGTTTATCAAACAAGGTCACACATTAACTTACCTATCTTATAGTTAATTCTAGTTTCACATTCGCTATTCCTAGACATACAACTATGTGTTCACAATAAATCATATGAAATTAATAAATAAGAGATGTTCATACAACTTAATTACTGATTTATTAACAAAAGAATAGTTATTGTTAACACATAAGGTTCTTTAACAAGCTTAATAAAACATAATCACCAATTAAAATTAATCCTAATCAAATAATCAATCCATGTTCACAAATTCATCTAGCTAAACAGAAGTTATGAGTTTTAGCTCATGATTACAATAGAAACAAGCTCAAAAACGAAATCAATTGGTAAAAAATAGTTCAAACAAGAGATTAGGTAAGTGTAAACTTGATTTTGACTTGATTTTCCTTAAAATTGAATGTAGGATTGATTCCTTAGCTTCCCACGCTCTAGCAATACCTTTACTCGACAATTGGCCTCCAAGGGTTCATATATATGCTAGGGTATCGATCTGAAAGTCCCTTTATAGAGATTTTCACAAAACAAAGGTGACTCATCGAGTCCAGTGACCTACTCGGCGAGTCCGTCACTTAAAACCCGTGTACGACATGTCAGCGCGTCCAGAATCGCGAAAGTTTGAAGTGATTCGTTGAGTTTATGGCCTACTCGTCGAGTCTGTATGGAATCATCATTTTCTCAAAAAACGAAAGTCATCTGAAATTGTGTCTAGTTTTCAGAAAATTTTGAATCTCGTCAATCGGAGTTACGGTTCATGAGATATTGCCAAAAGACTGACGAGGGGTCAAACTGTCCAATAACATCCTTCTTTCTTCAAAATCCAAGATCCAAGCCTCCAATCGCTAGTTCCGATTCCTTTTCCATCCGAGCATGTCATTGTTGCTGAAAAATGAAATTCTAAACTAATTAAGCACCCTTTTTTCATTAAATTAGACAAAAACAACATAAAGTATTAAGATAATGCATGAATTTTATAACTAAATATGCCCATATCAGTTCCCGAGGCAATTGGGTATAGTAACATTATGTTTATTAAATAAATAAATAGATAAAATTAATAAATGAATAGTAGCCCTAAATGTGGGATAATTTAGCAAGGCATTGGTTTTGGGGGTTAAAAAGTCATGGTTGAGAGTTTGGGGGTTAAAATGTAATTTCAGACTAGTTTGTAAAGAATTTTGATGGTTGAGGCCTGTTTGGTAAAGTATGGATTTAATTTGAAACAAATTTCAGAAATCAAGGTATGATTGGTAATTTGTTTGGACTTATTACGGAAAGATTTTTGAAGGTAAGGGGTTAAATGGTAAATATTAGAGTAAGGTTGCAATGAATTGAGGAGGAGGGGCCAAATGTGTCATTTTGGGGGAAGTTTTATTATGGGATGGGATTTAGGACCCGTCGTTTCCCTTCCTACCCGGTTGAATGATGCATCTCAAGGAAACCCTAAACCTAGATCGTATCCCAACCATCACCACCATGGGAGTCCTCATTAAGCCGCTGCTGTTTTTCCTTGTCGGCAAAGTCGAGAATTACAAGACCGGGCCGACTACCACCTTCCCACCTGTTACGTCGTCGAGCTCCGCCATCCACAACCCCGCTGCTGTACGTCGCGGGCCGCCATAAAATCACAAAGATCGGAATCGTGAGCTGTGATCGACCAGTTGCGGGATGTGACCAACCAGGAAAAGTTTCGGCAAGCGTAACCGACATATATCTTCTCTCCGTTGTCCTTCACGTTGTTGACATCGTGTACACCATTGCTACCGCCATTGGTCTTTGGTCCCTGATCCCGTCGTTTCAGGCGATGTCAACCACTTAGGAGGTGGCCAAATGTTTATGTGGTAAAGTATATAAGTTGTTTATTGTGGTCTTGAAGTTGTTGGCGCAACATATGGATGGAAAACGCACCACCACCGCAAGGTGGTAGCTTCCGCCCCAACCACCGTTTACTGTCGCCTGCCACCGCGTGGGTGGCTGTGAGTCTGTCAATAGGTGCGTGTGATTGAAATTCCTTATTTAGATATTGATTGGGTGTTTTGAGACAGAAAAAAACCATGGGAAACCCCACCACCACTGTGAGGTGGTGGTTGCTGCTGTGAGCCGCTGTCGACCACCACCGCACGAGGTGGTGGTTGCTGCTGTGAGCCACTGTCGACCACCACCGCACGAGGTGGTAGTGGGTGGTGCTCGACATAGTGAAACCCTAATCGACCCAAAAGCTTAGTTTTGGACTTAGTTGGCTTGTTTTTTTGGGTTGGAAACCCTAATTAGTGTTTAGAAAACCCTAATCTTGGGGATTTTAATTTGGACTTGTCGGGACCCGCATTTTGGACAACCAGATTGGATTTATGAATTAAGCTCGACCACACTGTATGATTGACTTTGTAGATTTATGGACTCAATGGATTAAGTCCTTATTGGTTTAAGTGTTTCTAATTAACCCTAATCACCATTTCATGTGAAAACCCTAATTGTGTTGGGTTTTGAGTTGGGTTAAGATGTCTGGGCTCTTGACTTTCCAACTATTAATAAGTATATGGACTAAAATATTTGGATTGGGATTTAGGAGAAGGCACATTGGAAAGGTTTAGGACCAATTTGGAAATTGGATCATAGATGGGCCATAATTAGGCCTTGATAATTAATAGATATTAGACCATCAAAATGCCAAGTGTTTGTACTAGAATAAATGGTTGGGCCTTAAGGTAAGACCATGTAGAGGTTTGAGCCCAATTTGAAATATTAGTGTAACACTCTGTTTGTTTATTTAATAAATACATAAATTAATGAACGAATAGAAGCCCTAAACTAAATAATTATATACCAAATGATGGTCTCATAGAGTTAATTGCCACATTTTTAGAAGCCAGGGGTTAAAAGTGTGAGTTCGGGACTCATTTTATAAATATATATGAAGACAGGGACCCGTGGTAATTAATTGGAGTTAAATTAAAATGGAAAAGAGGTGCAGGGGCTGAATATGTCATAATTGTGATATTAGAGGCTGTTTAGTAATTTACATGGTTGGATTTGAAAGGGATTTTCGAGGTTAGGCTAGAAAGGGAAAATATTTGAGTTAAATTGAAAGGAAATCGGATAGGAGGGACCTATCTTTCCATTATGGAAAACTTATGAAAGGAGTCGGGTATAAAAGCTCCATGTAACCCTAACCCTAGGGAAACCCTTTCCAGCCGTCACCCCCCCTTATACCTCCCTCCAGCCGCCGCCATGGAGCATAGCCGCCGTTGTGTTGCTTCCGGCCTGCATCCGACGACGACACCACCGGACAACCACCCCATTTCTTCATTCTTCCTTTCGCGTTCGA